TACATGAAAGTATCATCAGCTTTTCCTCTAGCTTCCTTTTTTTTTTTTTTTTTTTTTTTTTTTTTTTTTTTTTTTTTTTTTTTTTTTTTCCTCTGTGTTGCCAGGTCTTGTAATAGTTGTCATACTAAAGTTTTTATATCTGTGTCCAGACTCCTTTCCCTTTCCAGTGGTGACAATGATCTCCTCCTCCTCCTCCATGTATCTGTGTGTTGTGGGTATGGTATGCGCACATGTGTGACTGGTGTCTTTCATTCTGTCTTATTACCTTGAGACGTAGTCTCTCACTGAACCTGGAGCAAAGCTGGCAGCCAGCAAGTCCCTGCCATCCTTCTGTCTCTGGCCTGGTCCTGACTTTTCTATGTGGGTCTACATTGACACCATGGGCCTTGCCAGTGCCTCTTCTCTGCATAAACACATCAGTCACTCTTCCCTTGTTAACTGAACACAACCTGGTAGCCAAGGTTCTCCTTGATTTTTCTCTAAATTCCTCACAAAAGCTGGCTTCTAGTAATGTCATCTCCTCCCATGGCATGTTATTTTGCACCCTTATGCTTTGTCTCACAGATTTAGTCTTCTAGAATGTTCTCCCAAATCCTGAGTAAATAAATGCCCCAATTTCAATTATTTTCTTTCTTTTTTTAGAATTCAGATTCCCTGGCACCTCCCTTGCCCTGCAGGTTGATTTATGAGCACCCCTCTTTCTTGGCTCTGTGCTCTTAGAGATTCATTTGAACCCTCTCCTGGATCATTCATCTTTTTCATACTCTGACAATTAAAGTCTAACTCCCTGCAGATCCTATATAGAACAGGTATTTGTAATATATAGGTTGACAGTTCATGTTGGAAAGTAACATTAACTTTTACTGAAGATTGTAGCAGGAAACTCTACTCTTGTACAAAGGATGCTAACTGTGAGTGATAAATACTATATTCAGAATACCGAACATTCTAAAATAATAGCAATAGCTGTTTATGGAGTGGGTCTATGCCAGGGGTGTGAAGAAGTGAAAGGCAGGTCTGAGACAACCAACAGGTCAGAGATTGGGATAAGCAAGAGGTGGGAAGATGAGAATAATTTCCAGATGTGCCAGCAACATCTACAGGCACAGGGAAGCCTTGAGCTGTGAAGGCTGACACTGGACTAGGGACTTTTATATTATACATTGCCTCTTTTAATGTCTACAGTATCCTTGACTGGAGATTATTATTTCCAGTTTAATGGAGGAGAAAGTGAGTTGAGTGAGGTGAATAGCTGTTAGTATTGTTAGGACTCCTTAAAAAAATAACATAAAAGAGAATTTGGATCTACTTTAATCTGACTTTAATAGTGCACTAAAAATTTTCACTAATTTGAGTGAATTATTGCTACTATGCAACTTGAAAGGATCCCAGCCCCATTGCGTGTGGTTGTTGTTGTATACACATGCTGTGTATACAGACTATTACATAGAAAAATACCTAAACTTGCTCCATCAAGATACAGCAGGAGACTAACCACTAGCTCAGACACAGTTTTAAGATTTTTAAATAAAATAACAAGGAGAACAATTTAAAGTTAAAACCAGCTACTGTCTCTAAGCAGTAAGAAGAAAATTGTTTTATGTTTTAAAAAAGCTATATGTTGAAAATCATGTAAGTTTGTGTGTTCGTGTTTTTGTGTGCATGCATGTGTGTATGTGTGTGCATGCATGTACGTGTGTGTGCATGTGTATATGTACGTGTGTGTGTGCGTACATGTGGAAGTCAAAGGACTCTGTCCATCTTGTTTTTGGAAAAAGGGTCTCTCATTGGTCTGGAACTCACTGATACAGCTAGGCGGGCGGGTCAGCAAGGTCCAGTTATTTGACAGCATCCACTTCCACAGTGTTGGGATTACAAGCACACACCCCTAACTTATTTTATGTGCACAACTTACTTTATGGCGATGAAATTCAGGTCCTTGAATTTGTGTGGCAAGCACTTTACCAGCTTATCTATTTCTCTAGCCCAGGACTATGACTTTTAATGAAAGGTTTTAATGAAAGACATGGTCATATGACTAATAGAATGTAATAGCCACTTAACATTTGTAGGCTGAGCTTATGAGTCATTGCTGAGGAACAGCAAGTCCCAGGAGAAAGCATTACTTACTCTGAGAAAATACCACGACGACAAAACAGAAAGCCCTAAGAACAATCATGGTAAAAGAAGGACAATTAAATTGCTTCTTGGTTTTTGAGATTAAGAATTCATGAAAGTGAACCATATGAGGAAGAAAATATTTTCATTCATTCATTTAATGTGTTTTTACTAAATCCCTTCATGAGCATGTCTTGCCATAAGCATCATGGTTATCTAATAAAGAACATAAAATGTAACTGGATCACAATATTGTGGGGGTGAAAATGGACAATTTCTGTATAAAGGGTGGGTAATGACTAGCATTCTGCATTTTCCCTAAACATTCAGAAGTTGATCACAGGAAAGGAGATAATCTTCCTTCTTGGTGTTATATCAATTGCTAGGAATTCTTTCATCTGTAGAGTAAATTAAAAAGGCCTTTACAGGGAACCAGAAGTGAAAAATGAGAACGAAGGGCTAGTGGGAAATGAGGCAAATGGAATGCAGCATAGAGAGAACATGTACAGGGAAGGAGGTGGAGGCAAACATAAAGAGGTTTGGAATGCATATCCAGGGCTGTGAGAAAACAAGACAAAGAAAGAAAACTCAGTTTCCTCCACCTTGACTCAAAGGTAGCCCTATCTACTTACCTACTCATCTGTCGATGATCTATCCTCTATATGTATCTACTTACCTATCTACCTGGCTGTTTATTCATCTATCGTCTACCCACCTATCTTCTGTGTCTCTCTGCCCTCTGACTTTCTTTCTTTCTTTCTCTCTGTGTGGTTCTCTCTAGTCACCTACCCAAACCAGGACTTCAGATCTTCTTCTATAACTGAGTGCTATGGTTTTAGAGTTGGGTCTGCGTCTCCCAGGGATGAGTTCCCATTTGTTTTACATGTAGTCACAGTTCTCCCTAGTCATGCTTTGCCTCCTCCTATCTCCACATTAACCATGCCTCCCTTCACAGGTCCAATGGCTTTTGAAAATTAATTGTTCACTTTTAACATTATAATCAAGCAGACTAGCGGCAGTGTGTATCTCCCGACAGGTGAACCGGCAAGGAGATAATCTAAATTCATTTTCTGATAATGTTTACTTATTCCATATTACAAACAGCATAAAGGAAAAATACAGAATACATCAGCCTGTTCCTCTTCGTTTCTACGTTTCACTGAGAAAAGAATTAGGTGTGATGAAAAGAAATATATATCTATAGAGAAAATTGTATGCTTAGGCTTGTTGGCTTGTCTGCCTTTGTTGATACCTTTGGCTTCAGCTATAAAGTGTAGGTGCATGATTGGGAAGATTTTTGAAAAAAACACACCTTTGGTGCATTTTATTTCTAGAAGCAACTAAAACTCAGTTTCTTCTCTTTCAGTAAAATTAGATGTCTTTGCTAATGCAGATTAGCTCTGCAAATAACACCAAATGCCATTATTTAAAAAATAATTATTGCAAAGGTTTTGGAAAATACAAACATGAACTCATATGTGCAGGAAACAAGGTTAATGCCACTTCCTTTCCTGGCTATTCTGCCTGTTCTAGTATCTATTTGGGCCGAGCCTAGAGTTTAAGGTCTCTCTGTTGATTTGTTTGCTCATAAAACATTAACTGCATTACTGTTAAGGGCCAGTTGCTAATAACAAAGGCTTAATTCCTTAGGTAATTGGAGTAGCTTTCCAAGTGCAATTGATTTTCCTTGGAGGGGTGGGAGCAGATAACTGGTTGATAAACAAATTTTGGAGTATAATATTTCAAATGAATGACTTAATTTTACTTACTATTACATAATTCCCTGCTTAAGCATTGATAAGGATGTCAGGTACTTTTGTGAAACTCTACCTGTTTACACTGTGAATGAATTAGAGTCAGTCTTCAAGAAAACCCCCTTCAGTCAAAACTTTGTTGAGTGAAGGTGGCAAATGGCTGAGGTATGCCACCCAACTCTTCACGCAGAAACCTGTCTGAAAATTGGTTACTGGGATCTGCCTTTGACCATTTTACCTTTTTTCTATAAGCATTCAAAAAGACAAAAAAGTATGCACTTAAAAACAGTGATATGTTCTTCTCACTAAAAATAGAATCCACTGTTATTCTAGAGTCTAGAATGTTTTTTGTAAGAGTGATGTGTTCATTGTGCTCTTGATTTCAAAAGGGCATGTGCATTTGTGTGTGTGTGTGTGTGTGTGTGTGTGTGTGTGTGTGTGTGTGTGTGTGTGTGTGTGAGAGAGAGAGAGAGAGAGAGAGAGAGAGAGAGAGAGAGAGAGAGAGAGAGAGAGAGAGAGAGAAACAGAGTGCATTCACTGAGGAAAGTAGCCTCCAATTCCCATTCAGGTGAAGTCAGCCCACATTTCTATAGTAACGCAGGGCCCAAGATGGAACTCAAGACCTCTGGGAGAGACATAATCCTAAGCATCACAGGTCTCCTTTGTATTGGATGATGCGATACTTATGTAAATTAACTAGATGTCACAGAAAAGAAAGCCATTCCACTTGGGATCAGAAAGACTTTAGCTGATCCTTAGAAACTATGGAAGAGCTGCTGTTTAGCTGTTTCTTAAAATCAAACCATTGCTGCTGTGGTATAGAGTGGGTTCACTGGCACACTCGTGTATTCTGTCGCAAAGACGGGGTGCTGAAGAAAGCCCTGTGAAAACCTGACTCATCATTTAGATTTCAATGCTTTGGGTAGCAGAGACCTAGCATGCAGTCCCGCCCCTCCCCCTCCTTTTCTCCCCAGATTAATAGAAGTTTACTCTGAGAATGTTAAAGAAAAGTTTCCCATAGTCTGTGTTGGAAAGGACCAGAAAGCCTGGGAGTGGGTGGAAATGAATCTGGGAAGAGATGTAAGGCAGGCAGAGGGTGGGGATCAAGATCGACAGACTGCGACTCACCCTTCTGGGTCGTCCTGGGAGTCGCTGTCAGAGACCCACTCCTCCCCGATGTCGGGCAGGGTGAAGAACAGAGTTTTGGGGACAGGCCCTGGGGCCATCCACGTGCTGGACTCTCGCTCTCCGGGACCCGTCGACTGACGAGTGTTCCTTGGACTCGAGGCTGCACTGCTGTTGTTGCCAGCGGGCACAGCGACAGAGGGCAGGGTCGCCCAGACAGTGCCTGGGCCTGGCAAAGCCACTGATGCCACGGAGCCCGAGCCGCTGCAGGGGGCTAGGGGCGGCACTCTGGATGCTCCTGGGCTGCTGGGCAGAGACCCCGGGAACCCTACGGCTTCCACTCTGTGAGTGGCTGAGGAGCTCCTGGAGTGCGAGGCAAGATGCAGAGGGGTGGAGGGCTCCCGTGAGGCTGTGGTGTCTGGAGGCAGCGATGGGAGCAGAGTTAGGGTCGCTGCCTTGCTAAGCGACGTGCTGGCTCCGGAGACCACTGATCCTGTGGCCGTCGAGCCTCCAGGGTGGCTGGGGACCGCAGAGGACCCCGAGGTCTTGAAGATCTTGGCAAAGAGAGACCCCAGGTCCAACACAGCGACCTTCATGCCTTGATCCTGGAGAGGCTACCGTTGCTGCCACCACAGGGAGGTCAAGGACACCAAGCTCTGGGCTGCAGGGCTCCATCCACCGCCACCTGCAGCGATCTGGACCAGGCGGCCCTGGGGACGAGCGTGGTCCTGGGGTCCTGGCACACAGGGCGCTTGAGGCTTCTTTCTCCACCACAGCAACCTCTTTAGCTCCTCAAGAGTCTGACAGACCCTCCCCAATGGATCCACAGATTGCTGAGTTTGTGATCAAGGGACACAGGCCACCCTTTGCAAGGAGCAATCCCTCCTGTCTCACAGGGTAGTGAGACCTCTAAAGGAACAGGGTCATGGAGATAAAGAAGAGGACTAGTGTTTGGTGTACAGATTACGGCCTGAGCTCACTGGAGATTCCCTCGCTGGCTGGCCCCTGGGGCAGCATTGGCGGTTGCTAAGCTAAACAAAACCCTGCTAAGCTCCCTGCTAATTGGACTCCAGACTGTAGCCTGGGCTGCATCCACAATAGAAACAGCAGCTCCCCTCCTTGACTCCTGCCTTAAAGCAACAGTTTCAAATTTCTCCATCATCCTTACAGCTTCAGGCTCCCCAGGAACTAGGACACTGAGCATAATCCCTCCAAGCATATGCATCAATTCCAGAATGTTTTGGAACTCATTCAGGCTGACAAGGCCAAATGGACTATGCTCATAATCGATTTTTCAATGTGGGACGGGTGAGCAAGAAGGTGAATTGAAGGAATATGCTTGAAACAGGATCATCTTCCCTTACCCCGAGATTATTTTCTGTTCACTGGAGACATCAAGAGGGCTTACGTGGAACAATGGCGTTTTATCTTGTTTGATAGAATATGTATGACATGTAGAGTAGGCCTGTGGACACTTGCAGCAGGTGAGGTCTGTGTTGAGTAAAGTTTTGCACAAGCCATGGACAGGGTTTATTCATTGATACGAGGAGTGGTCAGCTTTGACCTCTATATAATTTTGTCTTTAGCAAGATAATAAATGGGATTCTGAGCCGTGTTTTCATGCCTATTAGTTTACTTTGCTTCTTTACTTGTTACCGCCACCAACCCTACGAATGAGCATGTCAGAGGCACTTTTAGCAAATTTCAAGATTCCTTAAGCACGGAGAGGTAAAGAGATATGTTCTTCCTGAAGTATAGAAAAACAAACAGAACAAAAACTAGTTTCTTATCTATCATATGTTGTGGCTGGTAAAAGCCCTGAGAAACAAGTGCAGCATGCGACCACCACTTCAGTGAAGCATCTGCAGAGAGAACGAAAAAACGAGTGAACAATAAGGTCCCAGTCCTAGTTAGATTCTGAGACTAGGAAGGGTATGTCGCCGTCAACATGGGAGGATTAGAAGTAAGGGTCAGGATGAGTGAGTGGCAGATAAACACAGAAGGACAGTGGTGGACCATAGAGACCGAGGTGCCAGAGCCGGACCGGAAAAGCTGTGCCAACTCTAGAAGGATGCAAGGCCACCAGAAGCAGGCTGGCATTGACCAACACCACTTCATATATTCGTGTCACTCCCCCTATGCTGCAACTTCCCAGGTGGTCCCCAAAGTGTGGAAAGTCCATCAGATCACTGAACTATTTCATATAGCTCCTTAAGATTGCAATTAATGCTATGTGAATGGCTGATCCTTTGTCCTTTCTCTCTCTCTCTCTCTCTCTCTCTCTCTCTCTCTATATATATATATATATATATATATATATATATACACACATATATATGTATATATATATACCTACATAGTATATATGTATATTACATACAAACATACACTCATATAATTCTTGTTTATACTACAGTAATATTTTGGGATCGCAGTTGACCTCAGATGAAATCATAAGACAAAAAACTGGGTAACAGGACTATAGGATAATCGAGTTCAGACCTGGTCATTTGCATGGACCGTAATCAAACAGGGTGATGTACTCTGAAGAGGAAAGGGTTTTGAGAACAGTCACATGGGAGAACACCTCAGCCCATGTGGTGACAGAGGTGTGGGACACCACAGCTGAACATTACCATCCAGGGTGGAAGAGGAAGAGAAAAATCTTGACTTGTAGGTTTCCAAGGGATCACAGCTCTGCAGATAACCAGTGCAGGATTTGTAGCCTGTAGAAGTGTGCTATTTTAAACCATCCAGTTGTGGTAATTTATTATGATAACCCTAGGAAATGGTTAGGGTATTAATTAACTGGAGAGGAGCCCTCACAATCACACAATTTTACTTGTAATTCTAGAAGAGTATTCAGTAGATATATAGGCTCTAAACAGCTAGCTATTGATTCAAGTGATGATAACAATAGTCTCTAATCCATAGAGAAAGCAATTGAAAGGGAGGTGGCATTGTAGGAAGTACCAGTGTCAGTTAAATGGTGGATATGGCTTTCTGAAAAGCTAGCCTTATAAAAGAAATAAAGGGACAATGGATGAATGATTGATCCTCTTGTTTGCAGGTACTGCTTTTGAAAATGACCTATAATTGCAAGCATAGCAAACCCTTCTAAGTGAGATGCTGGGTCTTTTACACCCATTGTTCATCTGTCAACAGCTTTTCAGATAGATGTGAGATGCTACCAGGCTAATCCTTAATTACCAGCAGCATGCAGTTTTCATGATGCAAGGCTTAGGTGATGGACCATGATGCTCTGCCTGAGCCATTATTTCAAGAATAATGCAAGGAAAGTAAATCATTCATGTACTGGGACTGTACTCATTTTAGGTTATTAGGAATGTCAAAGTGTTAGATTTTATTTTTCTTCTAATGTTTAGCTACGACATTGAGAAAGTATTAGGAAATTATAATGATGTTTCTAGGAAGAAATTTTATGTTCTGGAAACTTAACATTTGATAAAAACAAACAAGAGAAATTAATTTGCATATGAAGTACCTGTCTCAAATAGGGGGCATCTTGTGAGAGTTACATTTCTTTGTGGAGTAGAGATCATTAAACGGAGCTAAGTAGGTAACAAGCTCTCAGTTTTTATTCAGTTAATTTTCTATTGTGACACTCGGTTACACTGAATAACCATAGACAAAGAACTATAAGGAAATACAGCTACATTCACTTCTAAGTTGATTTATTTTTGTACAACTTGATTGCTTTCAATGGATGTGTCTACTTATTTTCCATGATAAACACAACAAATGTGAACTTTGACAAAACCCTGGAACAATTTTCTTAATATTTGATTAAAAGCTATGTGTTTCACTAAGGGAAAATATTAAAATGACAAAAGAAAACTTTTAGGGGCATCAACAAGCTGCATTAAGACAAGTAATTTGTGGATCACAGCAATATATGTTGGCTGCCATAGTGGATATAATGTAGTAGAAAGGACAAAGGACCAGATTTGTAAGCAATCCAGGTGTATTGAGTCCCATGTCAGAGAAAGCCCTTATAAACCCAGCTTTGAACACCATGATGCTCAAGTTGCTCACAGGACAGAAAGCCCATCCTTTGTTTGTTCTGGGATTGTTGAAGTAAGTTATCCATGTCATCAGAGACTCAAGGTTTTGCTCTCCTTTTTGTTCATACAGTGTCAGGGTGTTATGACACCAGCCACCTTTTCCTAAATAGCTACATTTAAGGCAAGAGAAAGATTTAGTTCACACTGTCTTTTGAGGAGCAAAATACTTTCCAGAAGTTTCTTAAACTAACTTTCATTCAGGCCTCATTGATGAAAACTAGATCAAAGCCCTTTCTGAACTAATGATCAACGAAGAGAATTAACATGACCAGCTGCATCCCCTAGCATCAGAGGAGGGCTCCACTGCTTCTCGTATTGCCACCTCAACAGTCTAAGCATCACAGTAAAAGAGAGGTAGTGATGTTCATTGTGTGGGAAATAAGCAGGATCTGCTACAAAGGAAAGCACCTTCGAGGTGCATTCAGTCTGATGCACCAGAGAAAACTCTTACCATCATAAACACTGAACCAAGTGAGATGTTCCTTGAGAAACTGTTAAACAGTGGGTAAATCATCTGTTATTATCAGATAAAAAGGGAAACCATGAATTCACAACTCCCATTATTCTCTGTACACAACACTCATGCACAGAGCATTTTTTTCATCCTTCCAAATACTGTCATTAAATCTTCTCAAACTCAGCTATCACACTTCTGGATGATACTGGCCATGGCATACGTAAGATTTTTGTGGGGGTCATAAAATACAAGAATAATAGCTGCTATGTGCATATGCTTGTTTTTGTTTTCTCCCTGATTTTCTCAAATGTTAGTTAACTGAGATGGGATCATTTTATAAGAAAGAGATTTATTGCAACTCATAGTTTTGAAGGTTGAGAGTGCAGATGGCATGGTGGAGGTGCTGGTGTCATGAAAAATGGTAGCTGGAAGAGTGCATCGATGGAGGAAGGTTCACCTTTCAAGTCAGTAAGCAGACAACACAAGGAGCTGGTCTTGTTGCTTGTTTCATAGATATCCTCTCTATAGAATCACAAAGAGTCATGTAAGAATGGTTTTAGTCCCTGTTGAAAGCCTGACCCAAGGACCTTCTGGCAGGACCTACCTCTTCAATGTGTCATTGCATCTCTAGTACTACCCCCTTGTGGAGCAAGTTTCTCAATACTTAGATTCTTAGGAAACACACAAATCACGCCCAAGTCATCACAACATGACTCCAGAGGGGCATAAGTAAACCCAGGAAATGAAAGACAGAAGAAAAGAGATTAATTAGAGGTAAATAAAATGAAGTAAGAATAAAAGGATGGTGGGAGACATAATATAAAATTGCTGATTCTACCCTTAAAGTTTGGAGTATGTACTGTGACACTTTCTGGGATGTATTCAAAGGTACACTGTTCAAAATCCACTATGCTGGGGTTGGAGAGATGGCTCAGAGGTTAAGAGCACTGGCTGCTCTTCCAGAGGTCCTGAGTTCAATTCCCAGCAACCACATGATGGCTCACAACCATCTGTAATGAGATCTGGCACCCTCTTCTGGCCTGCAGGCATACATGCAGGCAGAACACTATAGACAGAATAAATAAATAAATCTTTAAAAAAGAAAAATGTTTAAAAAAAAAATCCACTATGCCATGATCAGCATGAAACCTGGCACTCCGGACACAATCTTGGAGCACCCCTTAAATACCACCTCTCTCTTTTATGTACTCTATTAGTGTGTTGAGACATTACCAGTATCCCTAACAAACAAATACATGGAGACTGGACCATCCTGCTGGCTCCACTCTCTAGGCTGGGATAGGATAAAAGAGAACAAACCTCAAGGTAACATAGTGTCACAGAAGCCACCTGAGATGGATGATGTCAGAAGAGACTCCAGAGGCACTG